GCTTTTGAATGGTATTGACATGAAGGTAAAGGAAAATACTGGAAATGATGAAGAGTTTTCATTAAATCATAAACATGTGGTGTTATCATACGTACATTGCTCGTGCATTCGTTTCCCTAGCCGTGTGGTATTTTGAATGTTTACTGAGTTTTTTGTACAATAGATATGACACACGAAATCCTAATGCTAAGACTTCTATTTATACTACTTCGACCATAACGGTCTTGCTATAAGATTCTGCCACGTTCAGAACATGCAGAGTAATGCCTCTCTCTTGCTTCCACGCGTCTTCGAATGCTCCAGCGCATATATTTCAAATTTCGAACATCCCGCTTGCATTTGAATTTCAAATGTTTTGGCGCTCCTTCGCTTCGAACACATTCCTTGGACACAACATTGTTAGCATTTCGAGACTTCTTTGAATATATTCTCATAACTGTCACTCGAAGCTCCAAGTTTTGATATGCCCATTCGAAGCATTGATTCTACCATTTCGAAACATGACATCTTGCTTCATTCCAATCGAAACGTCCAATTTGCTTCGCTTCTAATAATATCATCAAAATCTTCAGCCAACAGTGGGTCAAAATTTATGAGGTTTGATTGTAAATTGGCCACAATTGACTTTTTCCCCAATACAGCTGATTTTTAGGTCAACTGTCCAATTGACTGGGCAAAAATTTGATTCAAGGCTTGAAACTTGGTATGAGCAATCTTATAAGTCCAACATGAGGCATGAAAGTCACATTAAGCATTAGAGGTCCAAAATTACTTGTGCAAACCCAAACCCTAATTTAGGTCAACAGTGCAAGGAGATGTCTTGAGCAGAGCAAACCCTAATCTGGTCTTGAGTTCAAAGAGTCTTGTGATGAGAAATCTTGATAAAATGAGAGGGCAAATTTTGGGGTACAATAGTGGACAACAAGGGGGACAGGTGTCGAACAGAAAGATCAAAGAATGACTATTTATTTTAGCGTCAAAATAGACATTCTTGGGGGGCAATTTGTTGGCTCCTGAATTCGACACCTACTATATATAGGCCTTATAGGCCAAAAATAGAACAAATAAAGCCAAGCTGGAAAATATTTCGACGGATGGAAAAAACTTAGAGAAAATATCTGAGTTACACATTGGTATTCGACCAGGCATCACCATCAAGATTTCGACTAAGAAGGTCCTATGACCTTCGACCAGAAGAACATACCTTCGTGTCAATACCAGAGACGAAGGATATTTGAATTTGAATTGTTGGAGGGAAACACAGTTTCGCCAGCAGTTAAAGGAAAACGACGTGGCTGGAAGATAGAGGTCGAGGGACGTGCAGAGGACACTTGTCTTCATCTTAGAGCAAAGCCACCCCTCGACGGTTACATAGTTTTAGTATAAAATAGGAAGTCTGTGTAGTTTTTTTCGTGTGTTCAACCTATTGTGCTAGTTACTCAAATATTGTCCAAGTACCCGCTGTGTATGAAAGGATAAACTGAGAAATGCACGTTGGAAACACCACTTTTCATTAATAAAGTCTTTTTACATTGCTTTGATCCTATTTTGCAAAGTTACTTTTCCTGCATCTTTACCTGCATTTCTATTAACTTTCTTACTTTCTAAAACCACAAACATCTTATCTTTGGTCGAACGTGCGTTCTTCCTAGACATCTATTTTCACATCAAACCAACATAAAAATTAGCATATGTTATGGGATCAATCTGATCGATCCCGCGAGTAAACAAAAGGACTTTCCTTTTTGGAGGATCAACGGTTGTTTACCAAAAACCATGGTAAACAATGTGCTTGATTCGAATCAGGCACTCAAAATCTCAAATTTTCATAATTTTTAAAATACTTTGAGATTTGTCTTTCCACATAAATTGAACCAATAACACACATGGTTCTTATTTCACTAACTCGTGCAATTGACTAAAACCATCTTGATCAAGCTCAAATATAACCATTGACTTATGAATGCTAAAATGAATAGATTCAAACATGATTCAGATATGTGCAATCATGAAGGAGACTCAATAAAAGGTAATAAATGAAAGTGATAAGACAAGCAACAAAATAGTCATATTTGGGATACTCCCCCTGAATGTATTAGGGACATGCAACTTTGGTCTCCGCATAGGAATATATAGCTTCATATGCTTCTTGTGGAGATTGACATGCCCTTAGAGCGATGCTCCCAATTTAACCAGGAGGTGAACAATGCAAGATTAGAGTGCACCGTCGATTTGGTCGACGAGTTATGAGATGTTACCCATATTCAGGAATTCTCCGCTAAAAATAGAGATGCTAGAAGATACAATTCCAAGGTCATGTTAAAAGAGATGAGAGAATGAGACTTGATAATGAGACATGTGATTCTACCAATACATCAAGGAAAGTTACAACCCAACTAGGGGGACTATGCTGCATATTCCAGAAGCTCTCGCATAGAGCATACAAGCTGCAAGAGGGATGCACGACTCATACCCATAACTTGGAATTATATTTGTTTAAAATATTATACACCTAGATTATTTGTAATTCTAGAGTGGTAACATCTTGATTATGGTATCATGTATGGTGTGCTTCCATAAGAAGATTTTTCCCAGCTTTCTAGGTAGTGCAATGATGTAGGACTTCCACAATAAGATCTTTGTTGCCTCTTAAGGCAATACAATTATGTTGGATTTCCAAAAGAAGATACTCGTCGTCGTTCTAGGAAATACAAAAATGTTGGATTTCCATAGGAAGGTCCTTACCACCTCTTAAGGCAATACAAATACACCGAACTTCCACAAGAAGGTGTTTGTGGCTCTAAGGGAAATATGACCATACTATCCCTCAGGGACCACCTCATATAAAGTCTCGATTCCGTATTTTTTTATCTGGTGGATTCTAAGGCTCATCTGACAGGTTTTGCATTTGTAACCCGATGTTTTTATTATAGGTTTAATGCTTGCTAATCCTTAGTGTTTTTGGTTGCAACACGTGGTATCAGAGCATGTTTCTTCTATTTATTTTTGTAGCTTGATCAGACATGGGAGATCAACCAGTGACCAGAGCAGATCTTGAGGGAGTTGACGCGACAACATATGAAGAATTCAAAAAATTAGGTGAACATCACCAACAACAACGAGAATCAGCGAAGAGATAGGGGATGAGAACATGTTAGGGTTTCACGTGGTGGAAACAATCATCGTGTTGTTATGTTGAAAATTCGAGTTATGAAGAAGAAAAACCCTACGAGGAAAAGGTAGTTGATCATGTGAATCAACATAACCATGATTATCGAGTGAATGCTGAATTCCATTATTCTATGAACGATGGGAGTGAAGGAGTTTCTGGATTGGCAGATCGACATCGACAGATTCTTCGACATTATGGGTGTCCTTGAGAATAAGTAAGTTAAGATGGTAGTGACCAGGCTAAAGAGTATTGTTGTTGTCTGGTGGGATAAATTTGTTGGTCTAAAGTAGAGGCAAAGAAAAGGATTGGTCAGATATTGGCGAAGAATGAAATAATTAATGTTGGAGTCGTTTTTTATCAGAGGATTATGAGCAGATTCTTTATAAGATGTATATTGAATGTGTTATGGGAAAGAGAATTGTAACATAATACATAACATAGTTTATGTGTTTCTCTGAGCGTAATGAATTGGGAGAATCAGAGAGTCAGAAAGTGGCTTGATACATCGGTGACTTAAAGAGATCCTTACAGGAGAAGACGAGTTTACAAAGTGTATTGATCATGGCTGAGGCATCCAGTCTAGCTTTGAAGGAAGAATTAATGGAGAAATCCCCTCAAAATTTCTCACATTTTAGGTATTCTCCCTAGAATAAATTTGATACAGTAGGCGACAAGAAGAAGATTGCAACAACCAGGGATTCCAACATTGTGAATAAGGGGACTAGCAACCCTAGCAGTATGCAACAAGATAAAACAGTAGTTCAGGGGCACAACAATCCATACATTAAACCCGCTAGAGACATGTGTTATCGTTGTAACGAAAGAGGTCACATATCAATGTTTGTCCCACAAGAAGAGTCGCTGATGTTACAGAAGAAAGGGAAGAGAAAGAGAAAAGAGAATGACATGCAATTGAGAACAATGAATATGCAGAGGTTGCGTTTGTAGAAGAAGAATCTGATGAGAGAATACATTTTGTGTTGAAGAGAATCTAGCATCCAAAGATAAAGGACAACACAAGAATTTGTTTAAAACACATTGTTCTGTCAAGAATAAGATATGTAATATGATTGTGGATACTGGAAGCATGAAGAATTTGGTGTTACATAAATTGATAGATTATTTGAAGTTGTCCACAAAATCCCATGAGAAGTCATACACTCTCGGTTGGGTAAACAAGGACTCTCAAGTTTGAGTAGCACTAATCAATAGAGTTCATATTTCCGTCGAAAAACATTATAGAGAAGAGATACTTTGTGATGTTCTTGATATGGATGTTTATCATATTTTAATTGGTAAGCCCTGACATTTTGATAATGATATCACTTATTGAAGACGTGATAATGTATGATGTTTACATGGAACACGCATAAAATTGCTATGGTTTTTGTTTTGCACTTTGATTAAATCCAAGAAGAAAGAAGTCTAGTATCTTGTGTTTGTAACTTTGTGTTTTTATTTTAGATTTAACATTTGCTTAGTTTGAAGTCAAAAATAATTTTTCGAGTTAATAAAATTCAATATTTTTTATCAGATAGATTCTAGAACATATCTAATAGGTATATTTTTACTGTATTTTTATTCTAAATTTAGCATTTGTTTAGTTTAAAGTGAGAGACAATTTTGTGTTTACAACTTTGTATTTTCATTCCAGATTTAACAATTGTTCTATAATACCAGTGGAGCTAGTGATTCGACAATTGTATAATAATTTTCCATTCATTATTATCGACATTTAGTAACTATTAACATTAAATCATCATCACAGATTCAGAGGTGTACTCAGTTGTTGTTGTATGTTCCGCAGTAAGACGCGGTTGTTTCATCCATGAGAGAGAAGAAAGGCTCAAAGCCTTCAACCTCTCCCTGCGCCTCTCTCAGAGACGCATACCACAATTGCTTCCACAGGTTTCATTCGATTAAAAGAACTCTTTTTCCATAATTTTGTGTCTTTTTCCTTAAACCCTAATTTCATTTCTGAAGGTGGTATACGGAGAAATTCGTCAAGGGTCAATATGACAAAGAAGAATGCGTCTCTGAGTGGCAAAATTACAGAGCTTGCCTTTCTGTAAGACCTTAATAATCTCTACTTCTATGTCTTTTAATCTTTGAGTGTGTTTAATGATCAATTTTGTGTTTATTTTTTCAGGAGCATTTGGAAAATAAGCATATGATTCGTATATTGGAAGGTGAAAACGTTCTTCAAGACAGTGCTGTTGCTTCTCAGTAACTTGGAAGATTAGCATATCATGTGTTTGATGTAATGGCGCACAGAAAATTGTTCTATAATCACTGACCAATTCATTCGAATTTTCCATAATTTGTAACATTATTTTGTTTAAATTATAGAATCATAGAATAGCTTTAAAACAAATTAATGTGGTCAACAGTTCACATGTTAACCACAAACAGATTGACAGTTCAAAACAAGATTGCTGGTGGTGGGAAAACTTCATGTCCAGCTAAGTTTCAGTTTTCTTAGCTTCACTATCATTTTGGCAAGCGGTAATTGGGAGTAAATTTAAACTTTGCTTTTAGAATTGTTTGTTTCTCAACTATTGCTTTGCAATTTTGTGCAAGTTTGAATGATTCCACATGAGTCAACTCCGTCTTTAAAATGATTTCTTTTTATTTTACATGCAATTTTGTGTGATGCATCATCAAACATACTAAAATGTTTATTTTTTCATTCGCCTTTTGTTTCTCTACTACAAATGTCTTTTGGTATTGATCTCTGCTGATATCTATTTTCCTAGAGAAGACTTCAATCTGACAAAAAAAAAAAAAAAGGCAGACAACCAAATCAAACTGGTTTATCAATAATAAAAACAAGAACTATTCAAGCACGCAGCCTCGTTGAACAGTTTCTTTCGCTTTATCCCTCGCTCAATCCGGACTCAATTTGCAAAACAAGAGAGGAGTGGTTTTGACTTTCTTTATTTCTTTTTGAAAAGGAAGTGTACAACCATCCATTCTTCACCATTATTATATCCAAAAAGTTCTGCTACAGCTATGAAAAATGTCCTCCAGAAGACAGTCCACTTAGTAGCCGAATCTTTGCCATATGTTGATTCCATAATTGGCTTGATTGAAGTCATGTTCTTATCCATTCTTTTGAGCCACTCTTCACTGCAAGATAAATTCATTTTTGCTTCAGCAATATGGTTCAAACTTGTCTAGTAAACAAATAAATTGAGCAATCTGCCATATTCTAACCTGGTCTGTGTGTAGTGTTTCCCATTTACCAGCCAATGGTTGACGACTGTAACATCATCCTTCACAAATAACCAAAAAATTCAATTACAAGTGAGCAAAATCATTACAAGATATAAAATACACAACAAAACTGTTGTTTCTGTTCTCTTATTCGTTTTTTCTGTTCTAATAAAAAAAAGTAAACATATTTTTTGTTGAATTTTTCTTCATATTTATCTCAGAGGAAATCATAGCAAAAACAACTGTAAGCTAGTATGTAATACGCTTACTTGAAAATAAAGAAGTAGATTTGCTGCAGGCATAGTTCCTCCTGTAAAGAAGTATCTTGTAATCCAATCATCTTCATTTTTGTCCTTTACGTATGAGTAGCAAGTAACAGTAATCAAATGACTAGTATCTTTGAGAACCCGAGTACTGTTATTAAAGTATCAACTAATATCGCAAGCAAAAATAACAGACAAAATATGAAGTTTACCTCAAAGTGGTAGGCAAATGCTTTGTGGCAGAAATGAGCAACAAATAAAAGACCATCCTCTTTCATCCATTTGGATATCTTGTTTAGAAGATCTTTATAGTTCTTCATATGCTGTGACAGGGTTAAAACTTAAATCAAATTTAATGAAATACCACTTCAATGCAGATGATTTACCAACAAAATCAAACCTCAAACATTTCTATGGAAAATATTCTGTCGTAAGAAGCTTCCATTTCAAATGTGCTAATGTCCGCAACAATGATATCCACATTTTGCAGCTGCAGCTCCCTGACAAGAGGCCAATGCAAGAAAGTGATTTCGGTCATCATACAATAGGTTTTTCACAAATAATAACAGTGTCAAGAAATATACACGCATTTCTCCTCGATAAAAGCTTTTTGAGTAGTGGAATTGCAGATTCCTGTAACTCTGCAATTACTGTAATTCTTGGCAATGTATAAAGCAAGAGAACCCCAACCGCATCCAACGTCAAGAACTGTATGACCATCTTTCAGATTTGATCTCTCGCAATACAGTTTCAACATTTCTTCTTCAGCATCTTCCAGCGTCTTTGACGTAGAAGAGAAATAACAAGAACTGCACCAGTTCATACATATAAGAGTCTTACACAAATCACAAGGTTATAACTTATATGTGCATATTTAAGCTTATCGTCTATAAACTGCTTTCACCTTATTTCTATAAGCTCTTCAGTTTTCAGAATAGTTTATGAAAACAACTTATAGCTTCTATGAAGTTAGCTATATCAACTAACAAGGCTATCAGTATATGAATCTGTAATCGTACCTGTATTTGAGATTGTTTCCGAGAACGAGCTTAAAGAAAGAGGTTGGTAGTTCATAATGCTGAGATTTAGGCTTATCAGTACTAACTGCAATAGGCATCTCTTGTAAAGCTGAAACACTATCATATCATATCAAACAATATACACTAAAACAAGATCATGCTTATATTACAAAATCGTAAGATGAAATAGAAGAGAAGTACAATGTGCAAACTGGAGAAGATCAGAGAGCTGAAGTTCAGAAGAAGGTTTGTAAGAAGATCGAAGGCGAGTGGCCAAAAGCAAGCGTGCGAGTCTTCTGATGACGGCGTCAGGAAGCAGGTTGCGTTCCAGTGAACCAAGCATCAGCTTCACTGTTGTGTCGTACAGTAGTTGCATCACCCCTTCCATCTTTTGCATCAAAGTTGCAACTACTACAACACACTTCTGTGTCTGTCAGGTTTTTGCGTAAGTATGGTAAGAATTATCAGAGACACGTGGTGGTAGTCTTTGTTTTTAGAGACTTATCTTAATTTTTTTAAGTAAACCTTATCTTTTGTACTGTGGAACTAGTAAGATATCTGTGACTCCAAAGATGAAAAAAAGTAGTACGAAAGAAATTACATTGCATTTACAATAGCAAAAAATAGAAGATGAAAAAAAGGTAATATCATTCAAGAGATTTAAAATGTATGACAACATTAACATCGTTCAACCAAATTGTTAATTTACATAAAGAAAATTCTGTAAAGAAAATGTATAACCTGAAAACAAAAACAAAAACACCTGTTATAAGGTAATTAATGAATTCAATATAAAGTAGAGATAGGTAACGGTAAGTTTACCTATTAAATATTATGGAAAACTTTTTAAAAAACTATTTTTGTAGTTGTAGTAAGGCACTATTTTTACTTGTCATGAATCGAAACTCTAAGGTCTTTTTTGGATTTAACTCTTGAAAAAGCAGAATATAATTGACTATAACTAAAAACAGTTGGAAATCCATCAAAATATCTATTACAAAGGTCTCTCCCAATCAGCTGTAACAAACTGCAAAAACTTATGCTCCAAGAAAGGTCTTCAATCTTTTCGTTCCTAAATAATCTTCTTATTTAGAAAGTTTTCATTCTCCTTGATTTCTGATTGAATTTTCTAGACCTTTAAATATGCGTCACATAGGATGCATAATATTCTCATGAATATTCTGTTTATGTTAAGAACAAACAGAATCTCATTAATCCAGCCCAGCAGGCGCGATGTCAAGACATCTTTTTTGACATGTTGTTCCAGTTGTTGAAAAAGTTCAACATAACATGTTCTGACATTATAATATGACTTCTTATTGTACTTATTCTTCTTAGCAAGTTTATACATCCTATTCTACATTACATTATTGCTGTTATTATTTGTTTTACAAAAAATTAAGTCAATTCTAAAACAAGAGAATTAACATAAACCAGAAGTTAGAGAAAGAATGAGATTATGAAATTATGGATTTGTGGATGAAAATTATGATGGAAAATAGTCCTATTTATAGACTTAGGATTAAGTTAAAAAAACTTAGAAATTAAGTTATCCAAAACACTAAAAAGCTCAAAATTTGATCTCTAAAAAAGAAAAGAAAAATAGTAACAGTAAAATATTAAAAGCGCAACACAAGATATTTGAACCCATGACCTTATCTGCTATGTTACTTATTTGAAATAAAAACCCAATTGTAAGTATATGAAAGCGAACAAATATTTGTTATTTAAAATACAAATAATTTGAAATAAACTATTATACATTTTTAAATTAGCGAAATAAATTATTGTTAAAATGTTAGTAAAATTGAACCAAAGAATATTATAAAAACCAATGTTGAAAATATTTTTGATTGTAGAAATAAAGGGCGGGCGAATTTGGGGTATGATATTCAGGTAGTTCATAATCATCATCACATCACAACTCATCAACAAATTCATACAATGTCACATATGATGTTAATGCAACAACACTAACTCAATGCATTTGTGTTATACCCCAAAATTTTCCCTCTTCATTTTACCTTACATGGCTTGTGTTTCATCATATGCATTCATACACTTAGACAAGATCAAAGTCTTCTTCAAGCAGTAGAATTTGATTGTGTTGACAATCAGTCTGAGATAGACATCATATCCTGTTTTTTCTATTGGTTCGAGCCACTAAGGCCTCTAAAAGCTTTGTGACGTCTCATGTTGAGTCTTTGTGTCATCATAGAATTTAGGTTTGCAAGGGTTTTAAAGGTTTGAGTAATTAGAATTTGAGATTATTGAAGACTTTCTCTTTCAGTAAGCTGCAAGGTTTTCATCTTCAAGCTTCGTTAGACTCAAGGTTTTATTTTCACCTTCAAGGCCAGGGCATTATCTTTAAAGTGGAGTAAATGCAAAGCATGATGCAAGAGATAAAATTATGGATTCATATTGTGATCAAGACGAATTTGTCATTTTAATTACAAGACATCTTGGATTTTGAGAATATGAAGTTAAGGGTTCAAGAGGATTTAAATTTGTGAATGAGGTTTGAAATTGGAGATTTGTTTGATCTTAGTTCATAAAGTCTAAATTCCAACTCAAAATGTTCAAAGCATGCTTTCACGATTCAAAATCCATATCATTCTTTCATCATCCAAAACAAAATCTTCTCAAAGTTCATCATTCGTCATTATTCAAAATTTCAATCTTCATTCAAATTACTTATTCTTCACTCAAACAGTTTCTACGAAGTTTCATTT